TGGGGGGGGGGGCAGGGGGCTGCTGCTGACTGGCCTCTTTCCTTTCTTGTGTTCCCCGCCCCCACCAGTGACCCTCCCTTTGGCAAGAAGAGCTTTGAGCAGACCTTGACGGTGGAACTCTGTGGCACGGCAGGTGAGCTGGGGGCTCCGCTGTGGGTTGCCATTGGGGGAGCTGGCACAATGCCCAGCAACGAGTCCCCCACACTGAGCAACCCCTCAAGCAGGGAGGGGTGCCCCGTTGAGCTCTCCCTGTCACTGTGGCACTGGCTGTGCTGGGTCTTGAGATGTACAATGAGGGTGTTATCAGGAGGAGAGTCACCAGTCTGCTCAGCCATTTATCTGCCAGCTGGCCTGTGAGCTGATGTCAGGGTCAGAAAAGACAGAGCCACGCATGTCTTCCCCTGAAGGAGTCATAGTCTTATGTGGGAGACAAACACACCGTAATGAGGACTGTTTTGTTCTCACTAGTTCCAAAGTATGCATAAGAGCTCTGGGAGCGCAGAGGTGGGGGGGAGGTTAAGAGGGGAGCCTGGGCAGATCTGCAGGGCACCCAGTGCAGGGGGCATTTGAGCTGGGCTTGCAAGATGAGTAGTAGTTGGAGAGACAAAGAAGGGTTATCCCTGGCAGCGGAATCAGCGCGAGTAAAGCACAGAGTGAAAAGTACAGATGCACCTGAGGAGACTGGTCACCTGGTGTAGTGACATGGCAGGACATGGGGTCAGGAAAGAGCAGCCACAAAAGACTGCAAGGAATACCAGGCTGAGGGGTTTGGTCTTGATCCTGCAGACTTCGGCAGCCCCAGAGAGGAATTGATCTGTGGTATTTTACCAAGTTCCCTCTTGTGCATGGGGGAGAATGGAGGCCAAGGTCAGATGCAGGAGCACTAAGGACGCCTGGTGGTCACCTCCGGGTTGCGGGCAGTTGGGAGGAAGAGTTAGGAGGTCTTGTTGAATGACTGTGGAGCAGGAAGAGTTATTCTGGGTGACCCGGAGGCTTCGGCTACCATTGCCAGGCTACAGAAGGGAAGGCGAATGGATTTCATCACATGTCAGCTCCAAAAAATGGATGGTGGACTCTGAGGAGTTCCAGGCCACGTCCAGGCTCAGCCAGCAGTGCAGTAATCCATTAGCGATGCCTGCTGGGTTTTGGGAGTGGAGTCACATTTTGCCATCCCAAACTAGGTGTCTCTTAGAGAAGTGATCAGTCTCCAGCTCATGTTTCTTCTCTTGCACGGGTAGGACTCACCCCACCCACCACGCCTCCGTACAAACCCACAGAGGAGGACCCCTTCAAGCCGGACATCAAGCACAGCCCAGGCAAAGACATAGCTCCCAGCCTCCCCACCCTGGAGGGCCTCCAGCTCAGGGCTGCCACAGGGGCGGCCCACAAGCTGCCAAAGAAGCACCCGGAGCGGAGTGAGCTCCTGTCTCACCTGCGGCATGCCACAGCCCAGCCCGCCTCCCAGGCTGGCCAGAAGCGCCCCTTCTCCTGTTCCTTTGGAGACCATGACTACTGCCAGGTGCTCAAGCCAGAGGGTGCCCTGCAGAGGAAGGTGCTGAGGTCCTGGGAGCCATCTGGGGTCCACCTTGAGGACTGGCCCCAGCAAGGTGCCCCGCAGGCTGAGGCGCAGCCCTCTGGCAAGGAGGAACACAGAAGCTGTGACGCAGGTGCACCCCCCAAGGACAGTCTGCTGCTGAGAGACCACGAGATTCGCGCCAGCCTCACGAAGCACTTTGGGCTCCTGGAGACCGCCCTGGAAGACGAAGACCTGGCCTCCTGCAAGAGCCCTGAGTATGACACTGTTTTTGAGGACAGCAGCAGCAGCAGTGGCGAGAGCAGCTTCCTCCTGGAGGAGGAGGAGGAGGACAATGACGAGGACTCGGGGGTCAGCCCCCCTCGCTCTGACCACTGCCCCTACCAGAGCCCCCCAAGCAAGGCCAGTTGGCAACTCTGTTCCCGCAGCCGCTCCAGCTCTGGCTCCTCATCCTGCCGCTCCCGGTCACCAACCATCCGCAGGACCTTCAGGTACAGATGGGTGGCCTCAGGAGGGACGGTGGGCACCTGAGAACCCCAGTTTCCAGGGTGCCAGGGGAGGGAGGAGCCTTGAAACTGGGTGTGCATTTCCCTGTGTGGTCCATGGCCTTGTTACACGCCTGAAGGTGTCTCCTTGGGGGAGCCGTGGGCAGGTGCCGCAGGTGAGTGAAGCCTGCTCAGGGAGTCAGGAGTGGCCCAAAGTTCTTACTCATCTGTTTTCTGCTTACATGTTTGTAAAATGGATAGATTTTTGTGGAAACATACTTACCCACACAGTTTAATATCTATGTGACACTAACGTGTAAAAGGAAAATCAGCATAATTCTATTCTGTGTTCTGAAAAAGACCTGGGTTTAAAGCAGTGAAAGGTTTATTCCCATTTCTCGGTACTGCTGAGCTGCGCTGTGACTTTCCACAGCCAGCCACCCCCCGGGAGCTCTTCTACCTTTGCACAGCGATGAGGCGGTGGTGCGTCATGAGCCTGTTCGCTCACCCCATCTTTGCTCATTGAACCGGACTGCAGAGGGAGTCGGTCCAAATGTCAGTGGGGAGCGGGGCATAAAGAATGGAGGTTTGACAGGTTTTGGTGGAGACAGGTTGCTTCTCTCCCGGATCCCAGCGGGATCTTCCTGCCGGGAGGCCTGAGGTGTGCTGGTGCTGGTGCTGATGCTGGCGCAGGTCCCAAACCCTCTGCCTGAGGTGCACCTGGGTGACCACTAGATGGTGCTCAAGCCGCGCAGCTGAGTCACCTGGAGGGCTTGTTAACAGCAGATGGCTGGGCCCCATCCCCAGAGTGTCTGATTCTGTAGGTCTGGGAGGTGGGGGAAGATAATTTGCATTTCTCACCAGTTCCCAGGTGATGACGCCCAGAGTTCCCAGAGTGAACCAGAATTTGATAATAGAAAGATACCTTTTCTTAGAGAAATTCAGCTTTCTATTTACATATTTACACCAGCAGCTCTTAATTGTTTGAAAATCTGATTAAAGCAAAGGCTTCTTCTCCCCCATTAAAATGTGCATAGACATCTAACTGGGCATTCAATTTTAAGGGACTCCCCAGACACTAATGTTTAGAAGCCCTGGGCTGTTACTCAAAATGAGTTCCCCAGTGATTTCTCTAAAAGCCCTTCTATAGAATAAGCCAGGGTGATCAATCAGAACGTCTTCCGGCAGACCTCTCTGAGCTCTCTTTCTTTCCGGCTTCGCTCTCCTTTCCCTAGGGGTTGCTCTGAGCTAAATGACTCAGTGTTTACATTAGGCAGTTTCTCTGCCACGTTTGCTCAGAAGCTACTGACGTTCCATTTCTGTTGTAACCCAATGGAGCTGGAGCTGCTCGGCCTCCTCCCCCCCTGACAGGTTCAGGGATGTTTAGGTAGGGCCTGCGTTCATGGGCTTGCTGGCAAAGAGTTGGGAGCCTCTCTAGAAACCCCCATGTCTTCTCGCTCTTTGGCCAAGTTCAGGCCTGGCTTTTTCTTCTCACTGGAGAAAGTTCCTGCTTGGCTGCCTGGCAGAGCTCAGCACCTGGTAAGCCTGGTAAACTTGTCATCAGCCTTCTCCAGACCCACGATTCTTTCCCTGTGCTTCACTACCAAACATTGCTCAACCTGAAGCATGTTGAGCTGGTTTGAAAACACAAACCCCAAACCCCTCAGAACCTTCCAGTTACTCTCGACTCTTTATGGGAAACTGCCAATTCTGTTGCAAATGGATGATGGTACTATTATTGTTTAGCAAGCACTTTAAAGTTCACAGGTTACGCCCCCTTCTTTTACCCTATTTGAGCTTCACAGATGCATTTGGAGGGTGCATCTGCTTCTTATCCCCATTTTATAGAAGAGGAAGCTGAGGCTCAAAGAGGTTCAATAGAAATACATAGCAAGCAGTTACTGAGCAGTTCCTGGGCTCAGCACTGACGTGCATTTTCTGACTTGATCCAGAAGGCTGAGGAGGTGGAGACCATTGCTTTTTCCTATTTTGCAGATGACCCGACAGGGCTTACTTACCTGCCCCAAGGTCACCCAGCAGGGAGGTGGTAGAGGGAGGATTCAAGCACAGGCTGTCTGATTCAATAGCCCTGCTCTTATCTTCTGTGCTGTATCGGATTCCCAAGGATGCAGACAGCATGTGGCAGAGCTGGACTCGGCCACACCCCACATGCCGTGCTCCCTCCAGAGGGTGGGGTAGCCTGCAGACAGACAGGAAGGCACAGGCATGAGGCACCCATGGGCCTCCTCGGGCTGTGCATCTGGACTGAGTAGCCTGATATCCAGACTGGACATGGGGCTGTGATGGCCGGGCTTGCTTCTGGGCCAGGCACCAATAGAGATCAGTGGGTCCTTCTATCTCTGGCTTCCCTGCTCTCTAGTTTCAGCAAATTCCATATTTCCCCTGAGCCTCAGGGTTTTCATATGGAAAATGGGGAAACATAAGACCTCGTTGGTTTTTTCCATCAGATCAAATACTAGGATGAAGTAAAAGGGCCTTGCTATTCCTAAAGGCATGGAAAGGCCAGGTTCAGAAGGGTTATGATCAGCGATGCAGTGGTTCCCAGCGATCTGGTCCCAGAAGGGGGCAGAAGTTGTGTGTCAGTGTTCAGCCCCACTTGAGGGGCTGGCAGTCGCTGCTGAGGCCAGGGGGCCCTCAGTTCTGCCCTCATGAGTGAGTTCCAGAAAGAAGCGGCCCTTGCCTCCTGGAGCAGCTCCACCCCTGCCCCTTGTGGTCCCTCCCGAGAGTGAGTGCCTCTGCTTTGCTTGTTCACTGACAGATGTGAGAGCAGAGGGCCGTGTTCAGACGGAATGCCAAGCGTCCGGCATGCCAGGAAGCGGCGGGAAAAGGCTATTGTAAGTGACCTGGGGTCCCCAGAGCCCACAGGGAATGGGAATCAGCAGGGGTGTCAGGAAGGGCCGGGATTTGGTAGCTCCAAAGCCCTTTGAGGTTGTCTGTGGCCTGCAGAAGATAATTATATTTCTCATTTGGAAAAGCACAAGGGTCACCAAAGGGCATCAAAGGTGGCACCATGCAAAGGAGCTGGCTGTGATGTATACAGTTGCTGGTGATTTAGGGCCCAGCATCTGGGGCTGCACAGGACCCAGAGGGCAGGCCATGGTAGGGGGAGCAGAGCTGGGCTGACCAGCCCCGCCACCACCTTCTGTGTGACCTTGGGCAGGTGTCCCAGTTTGCTTATCTGTATGTAAGAGAGTTAGGCCTTATGCTTCCTAAGGGTCCCCCAGCTTGATCAGGCCTAAGGGACCAAGAGAGCCTGTCCCTTACTCCCCACTCTCCATAATCCTCTCCCAAAGTGAGTCCACAGACCCAGCCCTGCCTGGTGAACCTATTGCCGAGCACCCACCCCACAGGGAAGATTAATTGGCAAGTTGTGGGGGATGCGTTAGGGTGTAGCCAGCCCCTCTATGTCATTGGAAAGGAGGGAAGGGATAGTAAGACAGAAGCACAGAAAGAAACAGACTCTCACTTGATTGCTTTCCCCATGACGGATACCTCAGGAGGAGTCGGGGCACACATGGGCTATGCCTGCGCAGAGCTGTCCACAAGCAGGTGCTTAAGACCATAGGCCGCATGGAGCATCTTCTTAGAATCTCTGTGAGACCATTCAGCAGTTATGACATGCCCGGCACTGTCCTAGGCCTGGACAACAACAATGAACAAGACAGATGAGATCCCCACTCCTGTGGTCGGGGCAGAAGAGAGGGAGAGAGAGACAACAGACTCATAAACCAAAAATAAACACTTAATTACAGATCGGGAGAAGTGTGGTGAAAGTAGTCAGCCAGGACGGGACGCTCTGGCTGTCCGGGAAGATGTATTTAGGTGGTGGTCTGGGGTGGGGGCATCTTTCAGGAGCTGGGCCCTCAGGGATGAAAGGTGCCAACCAAGCAACAATGGGGCCAAGGCAGGAAAGAGTGTGATGAATTCAAGGAGCTGCCAGGAGGCTGGGGGAGGGGATTTTCCCATTGAGCTTAACTGAGCCCATTGTATCCTGGTGTGGGATGCATGGTTCCCATGGCTGTTGACAGCAGAGCCCTTCTGTAGGCCCCAGGCCTTTCCTCCCTACCCATGGTGGTATAAGAATGGGGTGGCTCCAGAATCACTGGCCTTAACCTGTTCCAGAGAAAGCCTGTCCAAACTATGGGAGCACAGGTTTCCAGGAACATGGCTGGAGTTTCTCCAGCAGGTCAAAGCCATTCTTCCAATGGTAGTACTGGGCTTTTAACTGGATGCCATCAAAGATCATGAGGAGAGGCCAGGCATCCCCCGACCCCTTCCCTTTGCTGGGCTGTCCTAGGGGCTCTCGGGCATGGTCCCGAGCCCACCTGAAGGTGACCTTGCTTCCAGTGTCTACACCAGGGGGTGGGGAACATCCACCAGCCTGTGAAGTCTCTTGGTCTGGCCCTTTCAAGGCAACCACAGGCAGGACTCGAAATTCACTAAAGCTAGGAGCTTTTTTCATAGCTAATTTTAAAGATGATTTTGTATGGCCCACGAATGATGTTATAAATATCCAAATGGCCCTTGGCAGAAAAAAGGTTCCCCACCCTACACACTGCCCTGGGAGAACCAAGGCTAATGTTGGCTCCAGTAGCTCTGTGACCCCGTCCTATCGCTTTTCTCCCAGCCCACTCTGACTCCCAAGGCTTGCCCGCTACCACCTTGCCTTTCTACCCCAACACCTACCCCACTACCAAAAAAATGTCTCAGACTCAAAAGAAATGTGGAAGCTGTTGAGTACGCAGTTATATTAACAGCAGTGAGCCCCCCTGCTTTCTCCACCCAGTCTCTGCTCATTTTCTTCAAGGAAGCAATTGCTTCCGTTGGGGGGTCACTACCCCATTCGACCTTCAGCAGCCCCCTTCTCCAGCAGGACAGGTCCTCTGGGATAGTGACTGTTAGTGTCCTCTCTCTGACTCCAGCCCCAGCTGGTGTCACTTGCTCAGCCAGGTGTCATGGACTGGGGATGAGGAATCCATGGGAGCCTGCCACCAAGGGGGCCCCGGGAAGGCAGGCAATGACTGGGTCCCTCTGTGTCCCCCTTCTTGAGCAGGGCGAAGGCCGAGTGGTGTATGTTCGAAATCTCTCCAGCGACATGAGCTCCCGCGAGCTGAAGAGGCGCTTCGAAGTGTTTGGCGAGATTGTGGAGTGCCAGGTGCTGAGGAGAAGCAAGAGGTGAGTGGAGTCAGGCTGTGGTAGAGGAGGGGGCGGGGAGGGCAGAGGCCCCTATCCAGGGCTGGCCACACAGGAGGTGTCCTAGAAGGTTTGTGGAACGAATTTGATGAAATCCACTGCCTGGACCTGGACCAGTAAGGATCCTGCAGCCCAGTAATAGCAGCGAACACCTGCTGATGGTTCACTAAGTACCAGTTAGTTTCCTTGTGCACTCTCTTAAACTTCCCAACACTGTGCCTGTAACGTATACATTCATTCTTTCTATGACTGTCCTTTCTGGGGGAGCTCTAGACAAGTTAATTGAGCATCTAGTTTGTGCAGAGCTAGATCTGCAGCCCACGTGTCTGCTTCAGGTGGCACAGGGCAGCAAACAGCCCCTGGGGGTTAAAGGCGTACGTGCACTGGGACATCCCTGTGCTGCAAGCCCTACGCTTCTCACACCCCCTCCGTTCCTCTGCAGCAGCCACTCCCAGACCTTCCATTCTCCCGGGCAACCTGGTTTTTCCTCACTCACCTGGGGAAGCNCACCCCCTCCGTTCCTCTGCAGCAGCCACTCCCAGACCTTCCATTCTCCCAGGAACCTGGTTTTTCCTCACTCACCTGGGGAAGCAGTGTTTCATCTGGCAGGGGATCTGCAAGAATAGGTTATATATAAATGCACAACTTAGATGTCAAAAACTTGATCACTTTTGAAATAATTCTAAAGTATCTCCTATTATACTTGCAAGCTAAGTTATTATGGTTTTTAAATCCTAGTTTAATAATAATTTTTTAAAGCCTCAGTGAGAAAATAGTGTCTGCATAAGAATCATTGCTTACCTCACATCCATTAGGATGGCTACAGAAAATAACAAGTGCTGGCAAGGATGTGGAGAAAAGGGAACCCTTATGCACTCTTGAAAGGAACGTAAAATGGTGCAGCAACTATGGAAAACAGTATGAAGTTGCCTAAAAAATTAGACATAGAATTACCATATGATCCGGCCATCCCACTCCTGGGTATATACGGGTCTCAAAGAGATATTTGCACACCTATGTTCATAGCATCATTGTGCACAATGATGGTGGGAACCACCTAAGTGTCCATCCACAGATGAATGGATAAAGAAAATAATAGTAAAAAAAAAAAAAAAAGAAAAAGAAAATAATAGTATATACATATGATGGAATATTATTCAATCTTAAAAAGAAAGGAAATCCTGTCACATACTATAAGCATGGGTGAATCTTGACATTATGCTAAGAGAAATAAGGCCAGTCACAAAAAGACAAATACTGTATGATTCCCTTATGTGCGATCCCTAGAGTAGTCAAATTCATAGAAACAGAAAGTAGAATGGTGGTTGCAGGGCTGGGGAGGGGGAGTAGGGAGAGTTGTTGAAGGGTACAGAGTTTCAGTTTTGCAAGATGAAGTTCTGGGATCTGTTGCACAACAGTGTGAATATATTCAACACTACTGACTGTACCCTTAAAAATAGTAAAGATGGTAAACTATGTTACGTGTATTTAGCACAATTTCCAAAAAAGAGCCATTATACAAATGGCACTGTTAAATTCTATGCAGTCTTCAGGATACCATATGGCAATAACATACAAAAGCAAAAAGCAAATCAGTATTTAAAGAGAAGGGTCAGTTTGTTAATATTTTAAAAGCACACCCAAGTCTGAGACATACTACCAGTCTCAGACATATTTAAAGAGGCAGAAGGGGTTCGACTTTGGCCTGACTCAGAGAAGTGTCAGGAAACATGATTCAGTGGAGTGTTTATTAGGTGCCTACTGTTGGTAAGCCTGTCATGGGTGGTAGGGAAACTCCATATTGTCTCTGCCCCTGAGTCTTCATCGCAGCCAGGTATATCAGTCAGGATTCTTTCTCTTGTTCATGGAACTGAAGAGTCAGGGTTGGGGATAGAACTGACTTGAGGCTCCCCGAGTCTTGGCATCCTTCTGTGGCAGGCTTCCCTCATGGTGGCAAAGTGGCTGCCTCCGCCTCTAAGCTTATCTCCTCCCAGTGGGAGCAGGAATCTCCTTTACGGGTCCAGCAAAGACCTGGGGTGGATTCTCTGGGGTTCTGCTTTGGATGACAGGCTCACCCTTGAACAAATCACAGTGGCCAGGGAGGGCCACAATCATGTGACCTACTCTGGTGCCCCGAGTCCAGCTGAGCACGTGGTGCTGTTGTCTGAGAAAGGGGAGTGGACGCTGAGCAGGCAGACGTAACAGATGTCAACCATGAAGGATGAGATGTGCAGAAAATTCCAGGGATAGGGAGGGTGAGGCCAACTTAGCAGCCAAGGAAGTGGTAGCTGGGGCTGGCTTTGAAGGATGGGGGCGTAGGCGTGGCAAATCCAGAAGATGGGGATCCTGACCGAAACGGGAGTGTGAAGCATCAGCCTTCACGGCGGGAGGCCTGAGTTCGGATCCCCTGCTCTGCCACCGCCTCTGGGCAGCCTCTGAGCTCCGCTGAACCTGTTTCCTCCTCCCGGAGCAGCAGCCACTCCCAGGTGGTCCTGAAGAGCACGTGGGGCGCTGCGTGCTGACCAGCACTGCCAAGCGTTCAGTAAAGCGCCTGCTTTTACTCTTGTCACACTGCAGAGGTCAGCGTAGCATCGTCCTCACCATCTCTGTTTGGGGGGTCCTGTGACATGGGTACTGAATCATTGGCTTTCCGCTCCCCATCTCGTCATGGGCGGTCTGACAGTGTCGACCAAGCGGGCCCAGTGACACGGCCCCCTTGTCCCATCCCCTCAGAGGCGAGAAGCACGGCTTCATCACCTACCGGTGCTCCGAGCACGCCGCGCTCTCCCTGAGGAACGGCCCTGCCCTGCGGAAGCACAACGAGCCCTCGCTCCAGCTGAGCTACGGGGGCCTCCGGCACTTCTGCTGGCCCCGGTACACCGACTACGGTAAGTCCGCGGGGCCCGCTGCGTTCCTGCGGGACCCGAAGCGCGAGGGACTGAAGCCTCCCTTAATGAAACCCAGGCCCCACACCCAGGCTCCAGTGTGCCGATTGGTGTCACTCTGCAGCCACTCTGCCTAGAGGCTGCTATCTTGCTTTCCTTCTGGTCTCTGGCCCATCTTGTCCTGTCCCAGGACTGGTACCAAAAAGAGAGATTCAGGTCTCCCGTGGCCTCTTGGAGGGTCCAATCTTGTCTTCACAGCCCGGTGGCAGAGCCGTGACTGCTGTTTCTTTGCCCTCATAGGGCCACTAGCTGCCCGGCCCCCTTGAGGGGCATTCCATGGTGGCCCCAACAGGCAGCAGCCTTGTCCACTAGGGGCCACAGTGAAACAATATTGTGGCCATGCCCTCACCATTTGGGGGGGAAGTTGGTGAAGAAAGACAAAGAAGTTACCATCTAGGAGAGAATTATTTGTAGGGGAGAGTCTGACGCAGCCTCCGTAGAGCAGGGCCGAGTGTTGGAAGACCTAGGAGGGCTCCAGGCGAGACAGCGCACCCCCTGGCTGCACATCCACTTCTGGGACCCAGATCCATCCAGACAGTGCGGTCACCCTAGTTTTGTAGGCTGCCTTAGGTGACATGCACAGTGATTTGCTAATGGGCAGGAAGCTTTTAGGGGAAGTAGAATTATAGGATAAAGGAGCTCTGGGGGGCTCTAGGTCAACCCCCACCCCATTGTACCAGAGACAGCCAAGGCGCTGAGACATTGGCCACACAGCGGAGGTGTGACAGCGAGTGGCAGGGCCGGTGCTCGCTGTCCAGGGCTCTCCGAGGCCGTGGGCCGCGTCCGCTCCACGGTGGCCGATTTTCTGATCATCTGTCCTTTCTAAGTTGCTCACTGCCTTCCCCACTCACTGACTCCTCCACCCCCCGCCCAGATTCCAATTCCGAAGAGGCCCTTCCTGCGTCCGTGAAAAACAAGTACGAAGCCATGGATTTTGACAGCTTACTGAAGGAGGCCCAGCAGAGCCTGCACTGATCACAGCCTTAACCTCCGAGGAATACCTCAATACCTCAGACAAGGCCCTTTCAATATGTTTACGTTTTCAAAGAAAATAAGTCTATGAGAAGGAGAGCGAGCGAGCGCGTGAGAGGACATGAGAGAGAGAGAGAGAGAGACTTGAAACTGCTGTCCTTTTAAAAAAAAAAAATCAATGTTTACATTGAACAAAGCTGCTTCTGTCTGTGAGTTTCCATGGTGTTGACGTTCCACTGCCACATTAGTGTCCTCGCTTCCGACGGGTTGTCCCGGGTGCGTCTCCAAGTGCTGGGTCAGTCACCCACCCCCCTTCCTTCCTGACTGACTTCCCCGCGTAGACGTGCAGCTGAATTCACCATAACATTTCTTGTCTGTAGCGTGTGATGATGAAATTGTTACTTGTGAATAGAATCAGGATTATAAACTCATTTTTAATTGAAGAACAAAAGAAGTATATCCTTAAAATAATGTATTTATGGCTCAGATGTACTGTGCCTGGGGTTATTGTATCGCTTCCTTGATTTTTTAACTATGCACTGTCGTGAGGTGTTTGCCACTGAGCTGCTCTGCTCCCTTTGCCAGAATGCCCCAGAGGTGCCGGGTGGCTGGGGAGGTGCGGCCTGCAGCCACAATGAGGAGCAGTGGAGAGAGGTTTCTGGGCGTTATCTGCCAAGCCCTGCCCTGTCTCTCATTGAGTGAGTTCGGGTTCGATTACAATCAGAGCCCTCAGCGGGTGCCCAGCTCACACTTAGAGGTTCTGCCTGGCCATGAGTCCTTAGATCCTCATGAGGAAGGCAGGGTGAGCTTCCTTCCAGGTGAGGCAGGCGGTTCTCCAAGAGGTAAAATGACCTGCCCAAGGTCCCACAGCCAGTCAGTAGACAGAGCAGCAACCCAGCCCAGGCCTCCCAATCCCTCGTCCTATACTCCCACAGTAGCTGGGGTAAAGATGCAGAGTTTCAGGGCTGGTAGAGGTGAGTTCAGCTAAATTGGACAACAAACTAGAAACCTGAGGCTCATCATGGGGGTTACATCAACAGCTGATTCGCCAGCTTAGGTGAGTTCAAGCTCTGGTGTGTGTTTTGATCCAAGGTGTACCGTGGTTTGCTTATACCTGTAGACATGTTATCAGAGCTTCGGTGACACACCTGGAGTGTCCTAGACAAGTGATCTGGGAGCAGTCATCCTTTTGGACCAGTCACCAACCCATCTTACTCCCTCCAGCTTGTCTTTCCTTTTCCTCAGCTGTAAGGTTGTTTGGGTGGCATGGGACTGGGAAGCAGGCAGAGGACGTGAGGGTTGGGGATGGATAAAACAACCTCCAAGCTAATTTTCAACTTAGAGAACATTCTAATTGGGCTTTACTTTAAAATTTGTGTTCTTGAGTAATGTCAAAACCATATCCAGCGTGGATGTTCTGCAGGTGCCTTGGGGGGGGCCATTTGTGAGGGAGAGCATGGCGGGGCAGAGGATGAGCATGTAGCTTCTGCTTCAGAAAGAGCAGCTCCCACTCGATCTCTTTCAGACATCAGTGCTCCTTGGTAAATTTCTGTATTGAAAAAGAAAATAAAAAAGGTCCTGCTGCTTTAACGAAGTTGAAATTGACTCATTAAACTAAATAAGCGAAATTAACCTATTGTTAATGCCAGGCCTAGTCCTTTCAGAATTGATAGTTGATTTTTTTTTTTTTTTTTTAAGATTTTCAAATACCTCAGTAGGTAAACTGGGCTGATGAGCTTGTCCTAGGTGGTGTGCATACTCCAAGCCCACACAGAAGGCTGGAGGAGACAGGCTTTGGAAGGAATAGGGAATCTGAGCTGTGTGTCAAGTCACTTTACCTCTTTGGGTCCCAATTTTCTTTTCTGTGAAATAGACTGGGGGAGAATTAAGCAAGGTGATCTCCAAGGTCCCTGACAGCTCTACAGTCTTAGCTTCTGCTAAGGCAGTGTCTAGCTGAAGATGGCAGATACACAGCATGTGCGCCACTATAGCCACATCCCTGGCCGTGGCAGACATAACTAATTGATCACAGCACACATGTTCTTTGAGCCTGGCCATGCTATTAGAATCTTCATCACAGTGCCTTGGGCAAACATTACTAATTGATCAGAGCTTAACCTATTTGACATCTTGGGCTAATCTTCTAAAGGTTTCCATCACACATTAATATAGTGGCTGAGTTTCATGCTGGCCCATTCCTGTCTGTCATGTCCTGACCTGTGAGAGTAAATTTCCCTAAAGTCATTCCTTGGCACAGGACTCCTGATATTACTGTGACACAAAATCCCACTTGGGGTGGGAGTGGAGAGTGGAATAGCAGACATGGACATGTTTGGGGGAGGTGGGGTTTATGAGGATGGACCAAGAAAAGGGACTTTCCACAGCACAGGCCTGAACATTCTAAATTCCTTTTATAGCTATTCACTGCCTAGCACACAGTAGGCACACAACAAATGGTTATGGAATGGAATTTAATCTGTCTGCTGCCTCCCCTGAGTCCTTGAGATTTCACCATGTAGAAGCCAGTAGGAAAGAACTCTAGCTTCAGAATTGGACTAGATCACCTCTAAGCCCCTCCGATTGGCTTCTTCCCTGATTGCACTAGGCCAGAGGTTCTACCATGGGCAGGTGGTACTTCAGGGTAAAGAAATGCAAATTTAGTGAAGGACAAGTCTGTCCCCTCTTCTGGGTCAGCTGAAGCTGTCCTTTCACTTCAGATTAATATAGGGCCCTTGAAGTTACTTATACTCGGCCCTTGAGCAGAGCAGAGATCTGAGCATGGCAGTGGGATGGGATGTGCCTAAGGCCAGAGCTGGGGCCGCTGATGGGAGGGGATGCCTGCAAGGACGTCCAGCAGTTTCTGCTCACTGTCCCGTACAGAAAAGGCTACAGGTTCTAAAGCTGACTGACCCTGCAGACCACCTCTGTCCGGAAGACTCATTCGGTGCTGCGTATTACTTACCAAGGAGACTCCCAAGGTCTCTCCAGGAAAACTAGTCAACTTTGGGCTCTTTTCCACCAACTTAAGGAATAACCCAGAGGGAGCAGCTGCCACTGGCAACCATCTCGTTGTAGCTCTGCCCTAGTATTTGCTCTCGATGATGTTTACATGTGATTGCCATAAAGCTTGCTGTAGGCTGTGCCGGTAGCTGCCGCGCCGGGTAGGTTGTACTGTCCGTCTCTGTGCTGTGCTGGTGTTTTCCAAAAATATCCGATCCAACCGCTAAGTGGAATTCTTCCATCTCCTTCCTCAGTCAGTAGAAGGCTGAATCAGAATCCTCCCTCTCGGGGGCTCTGGTTATGAAGGAAAATGCATCAAAGAGGTAAAGAATATGCGTGGATGGAGTGTAGCTAGAGCTCCCACCCCCGATCCCTTCACACCTTGTTCTCCCCAATAAGAGAATTGCTTGGAATCCAAAAGCACCCTTGGGGGCTCTGCAGCTACCCTGAGATCTGGCAGCACTGCATGTGGGACACGCTTGGAAGAGGCAGGGCTTCGGGGGCGGGAGGAGGAAGGGAGGAACGCTCTGAGCTCCAACACTCAGCAGGCAAGCTCTGATGTGGGAAGAGATGACGCAATCAGGAGCTTTCATTGCCTAAAGCCTATGCTTGTTGACGTTCTGACAGCGATTTCTTCTAGGCAATACATGCCCAGGCCGCTGTGCAGGTGGGGAGAGGAGGGAGCAGGGAAGACATTGACAGCGAGATTCTAATGCCTGGACAGGTCAGGACCCCACCCCGGCTTCAGGGTCAGTTGAAACCACAGCTGAGCCTGCAGCTCGAGAGATGGGTCAACTCCAATGTGAAGTACAAGCCCCCCCCAGAGGATTTGCTGATCTGACTCACTTCACGTCAAAACTGCGGTAATTCTCTTAGCATTTGCAGTTTAGCTATCACTCTTAGATATGATCAGGGAAGGAAATTGGATGTACAGTAGCACATAAAGTGAACTTAATGGTTTCATTGGCCAAAGAAGAGGGGCCCTCTCACCCCTTCCCATTGGGGCGGAAGGAAGCTGCTTAGTACTTACGTGCAATATGTTTAAGCTGGTCCCCAAGTCCCTGAGGCATTTGCACACACAGATGGGCTCCAGGGCTGTGTGCCAAGTCGGGAGGTACAGGGTAAATGGAGGGAGAGCGTGGGAGCTAGGAAACCCATGTACACGGAGATGCCCTTGGCCCAAAACACATCGGAGGAGGGAGAGCCCTTGGGAGCCTGCTGCGGGATGCCCAGGAAGTAGGCAGAGGCTGACTTTGCATTGAACCAATAAAAGCACTTTGAGAAAACCACAACACTTCAGCCTGGCTCCCTGTGTCTACACTGGAAAATATGGTCGCCTCTGGCTGTGTGAGATACTCTCCTAGGGACCGAGATAGGGGGTAGGGAAGGGGGCTGGTGTGAGGGAGAAGAGAACGGAGTTACCTTCTGAGATACCAGCAGCAGGAGAGCCAATCCTGGGCCTAGCCCTTTGCTGGCCTCTTTGTTGGAGGCCCTAGAAACAGGGAACGATGAGATTAGATCTTGGTTCCTATCTTCTTTATATAAAAAAATTAAAACAGCCCAGCTGATTGAAATGGATTTGCAGACCAAGTCATTTAACTATAAGCCATCTCAGAGCGAAAAAGGCAATGTCTCTTCCCTGCTATGTGAGCCGGGGCCTGTTTCCTCATCTAGCAAATGAGAATATTGGGCAGGGTGAACACTCGAGTCCGTTTCACCTCTGATAGGCTCAGATTCCCTTCTCTGGCTGTGCCCAGCTCATGTTCAGGGTGAAATTCTCCGCAAGGTAACCAACCAGCAGCTGGTTCAAACCCACACAGTCCTGGCAGAGCTTCCCTATACCAGGAGGCCAGCTCCGCAGGACAGATCTAAGCCATAGTTTCCAGTGGGGATGGTGCGAAGTTCCACCCCAGCTTGGCTTGGCGCTGTCGAACCTCACGTCAGCCTTGTCGTCATCCCCACCAAACAGCTTTTAACCTGAATGTTCTGACCACTTGGCTGTTTCTCTCTTGCTCTCAGACAATTCTAGCAATACACTGGTTTGTTTTTTTTTTTCAAAACAGCTTAACTTAGGCACTTTTCACGCATTTCTTTCAAATGATTGTAAAACATGGGGCAACAGGAGGCCTCAAT